CAGCGTTAACATAATGGAAAGCGTGGAACTGGCAAGCATGTGGAGAACGGTCTTGGGTCATTCGAGCTAACACGTGTTGGTGTGCGATCATCAGAGGGAAGAGTGGTCATCACCTGAACTCCCCTTAACCTTACGCACCTCCCCTCCCCCCAACTAAATTGTCGTAACATTCACATCCCCCGATGATCAAGGATCTACCAGTGGTACCCGGGGTGAATCGTCAAGTGAAGCACCCTGAAGCGGAGGATTAAGGAACGAAAAGTAATGGGAAGTAATTTGAAACTCCTCCAACCCACCAATTCAAGATTTTGACGCCCACGCTAGCCGACAAGAGCTGTTAATTGACACTCAACACTGATCTAGTGTGAAGAGGACTTACTGATTTGTTCCCCGTGTGTCTTACAACCTGGCCCATTTGGTGACCTGTTCACTTGGCCTGATGAAGCTTTTGTGTCAAAAGCGAAACGTTGCCCAAATAAAAACCACCGATTATTTACCAAGCTCTTCTGAAACGCTGCCTTCTCAATCGGTCCCGATTTTTTCAAATTGATCGAGGAATCTTGTTTTTATATCGAATGCATGATTCAGAGTTAGCATCGGGGTGCAAAGGCCGATTATACTCTGACAATTCATTGTAGATCTTTAAAAATTGTTTTTGAAAATGTAAACAGCACCCGCCTGGCTCCAGGGAACGAATGAAAGGCGCAAAAGCTGCCACAAAACACATATGACATGCCGGTGGGCTGAGTTTGCTCTGGCAAGCCGCCCGATATAGCCTCGGAAGCATTCAGGTCATGGTTGTTTGCAGTGAATGGCGTTGAATGGTGGGTTTCCGCGGTCAGCATAAAGTAGCTGTCACATGATTGGTGTTGGAGTGTACACCGTCAGTTGCCAAGCTTGTCGTTGACAATTGTACTCCTTTCCGTCGAGTGAATTATTGTCATGGCTCATGCTAAGCGGCCGGAAGAACCTAGCTCACATGAATGCCTACGATGCGACTCAATCAAAGTTATGCCTGCTAAGCTTGTGAAAAAAGCACAGACCGCTCGTTTGTGCAGTCAAACGGAACTGATCCATGTGCACGTGTAACTGATGGCCACCCGTCCCAGTTGCAAACTTCGATAATCTAGCTATAACCAGAAGAAAATTATGGTTACATTGGGCGTTTTGATAGTTGCGTATGCCTCAGCAATACAGTCTACGGATTCCTTCGTGAGTAAATCTCGCTATGTAATCGACCCCTGAAGTGGACAGTGAATGGTGGTTTGTTTACCAAAATACCACTAAAAGTTCGACAGGGCTAAAAATAAAGACCACTCGGATCCCCTTCTTTTTCAGACAACAAGTAATGCTTTCAGGGATACCCGTTTAGCGTCCTGGAGACTCTTATGGAGTTGCGCCAGATATCTTTAATGACCACTGGCCTTCTTTAGTAGTATTCCGGTCACACTTTCAGGACGAATTCCCGGGTTACTCGCAACGGCCCGTATGCGAATAATATGCAGTAATTAGGTAGTTGGGTAAGAGACAGATCATGAAATCGTGCGGGAAACTATTACGGGGCCACGGAAGAATCTGAGCAGATAAAGTGATCAAATGAAAACACACTGAGCGGTAGTGTTCGTACGGGTTGTGTGAGCTGTCAGAGAAGGGTACCCTAACCAAAATATACAAAAGCAGTACCACTGCGCGTTTAATGCGCTTGGTCCAGACAAAAACCCACCGTTTAATACAATAAATCCAAATTATCGGTAATGTATTCAAACGGGCCGATTAATACTTCCGGTGGATCTGTATACTGCTTGAGTTGTTAGCCTCTTCTCGCGACAAGTTGCAACACTCCGGAAGTCGGTTTCCCGCGGTTCAGCAGAATATTTCACATGCCCAAATGCTTTTATGTAGCCATCGATTTGCAGGCAGCATGTGGTAAACAATCGACTGACAGTGGTGTATTTACGAACCTCCCGCCCCTGATGCGCGGCTTTCTACCCCACTCCCCCAACTCACCGGTGAACAAAAGTGTGGCTGCTAGAACCACTGTACGACAAGTAGGCGGTTCTTGCAGCTGACAAAGATCACGAGGCTGCTGAGTGGCAAACAATTTGGTCACTGCATATTTGCAAATAGGGTGTCGTGATGCGACCAGTGGATTGCCCGGTTGCCTTGTTAGACAACCGCAAACCAGCTAACTGGTGCTATGCCTGCTGTTTGTCGTTGGAGAATGCGGTCAACCTTCAAGCCTCTCCTAATTTCCTTACTCTCCCTCAGTTCTGAGAAGCGCCAGCCTTATTCGTAATAAAGCCTCTTATGACGCAAAAGAGCGTTTGGTTTTGCCCTTCACGTACCAAAATTCAACATGGTTATATTTCACACACTTTTTCAATGCTTTTTCAAAGGTTGCGAAGGATGAAATACGTTCAGCCGGCAACTTCTCAGTGAACATACCTAAAGCCTGGTGTCCGACTTGCCTGGTTCACCGACGTAGTAATGGCGCAAAAAATTACGAGCAATAAATAATCCAGACAAACTGGTGGATTGGACGTGTCAAAAGAATCATTTATTCCGTGCATGGTGAGGAAGAGCTGGCCCAACAAACCCATGTCTTAATTTTAGTGATTTATAAATCAAGCAATTTTGAAGGGCCGATTGACTGAATATTGATGAACAAGATATTTTCAATGTGGGTTGCACCTAAATACGTGTGCGTAGCGTTTTTCTACTGAAATAAGTGAGCAATCTTCCAGTTACCTGACATAAATTTGGGCAGGAAAATCATGCTAAACTTTTTTAAATGGCTGACTCTGACCTAACGACCGATCGCGTTGGAGAGATTTCTTAAGGACACTGGCTCTCGAGGCGAGTCAGTTTATGGGAAGCGGATGCATTGCGCTTTATTGTACGGATGAGACATTACGATGTACAGGCAAGCCGCCTAAAGCTGAAGCACACATTTCTTTGGAAGGCTGAGTTTGCCAGACGACGTCAAGTAGCAAGCCGCCTAAAGCTGAAGGCTGAGTTTGCCAGACGACGTCAAGTGCGCCGCAAATGTTCCATTCAGGCATTACAGCTGAAAACCAATCCTCCTGTTTGCGCTCACTATTTTACCCAGCGTATGAGTTTGATCTGTTTGTGCTTAAACAGGACCTCCTTGAATTGGCTCAGGAGATATCAAACCAAGGACGGTCCACTCTGAGTTACACTGGCGTTCAGAATATCCGACAATTTTGAGCTAATTTAGACGTTTCGGTTCCGATGAGATCTTTCTGCGGTCACCGGATTTAAAGTGGCATTACTTTTGCACGCCAAGATGTTCGCAGGGGCGATTTAATGCGAAAATTCGGAAGCCAATAAAGGCGCAAATCGGTGCCTGCGGTGGTGACTGAATGCGTTCTTATCCGTAAGAAACTTTCGAAAATGCTCCAGTGCTTAGCCGCTGCAGCGTTTTGTTATTCGGCAACATGGTGCGGTGTCCACTTTCTCTCGAATAAGCCACCGGTTGATGTACGGAGTTCCGGCATACTTACGATCATAAAAAGGGTGTGTGCAGTGGTTAATTGATGCTCTATTTGAATTTCTAGACAAAACTTAAACGGACGGTAAACATTGTGTGTACTGCTGGGCGTCCATTTAACTGAGCCGGTCTTGAGGAATAATTAACTCACGTCCATTTTGAATTGGCTGGTTCATTGATGGCAAACCGGCAAACGGCACGATAAATGGTGATTTTTTAGCTTTCATAGGCGCTTACACAATATACTGGCCTCACGCGTTCAGTTTTTCGGAAATGTTGACCGTACAGGAGCCGGATTCCAAAGAGTAATATTTTCGGATTTCGTCACATCAACGTTTGGGCCACTGGGTAATTTCGATCTCATGAACAAGATTTTGTACGACTTAGTTTGCTTCAGCAGCTGTAAAACTGACAGTAGGCCGGCCTTCTACTTTGCAGCCATTGCATTCATCAGTTGTGCCTTTAGAACTTCGGACATGGCGAAGTATAACGTTTTTCTTCCCAAAACTTTGACGCATCCGGGTTCTAAATAGATATGAGCTCTGCAAAATGCAAGAGATCAGGGTAGTCAAAGTTGTTGCAGTCAAATCTGATCCTCTTTTGATTATTAGAGATTCCAGCAGTACTTTCCCTTAACTAACTGATCTATTTGGAACAGCGTCTATGCCGAAATTGAGTCACGAATATATGGTGGAAACCTCAATTATACGTGTACATGGAACGATTTCATGGTGTGTTCTCTCATTTGCAAGCCAATTTTGTTGGCCCATTATAGGGAATCGTCTGTCGATCGCTCATCAGCTGTCCGGCCACATACAACCAAAGCAGAGCGCACTGATGAGTTCGCCAAAATAAGATTTCACCTGTGAGAACAAGGGCTAATCTTTGGAACAGAAAGGTAATTCATAGGTGATGGGCTTAGTACTACAAAAAGAACGAACTGCAGCAAACACACTGTCAGTGGCGCTTGGTTTAATATTAGGGAAAACCAAAATACGGATTTCTTGGGTACTGGGCCGTCAAACCTGCCACTTAAAGTTCTAGGAGCAAATATTCCCTAAGCAAATTTCCAAAATTACTCATGAAGCCAAGAGAAAAGCAGCAGATAAAGACCACCGGTCCCACCCACTCAGGTGGCTCAGATAATCTTTTCTTTCCCGTGCATTCATCACTGGATATAACTGCACCTTCTTGTAACCCTGATAACCAACCGATGGTGTCCCTTACTCTGGTCACGACCGCATTACTCAAGGTCAACGTCTCCTGATAGGAGACTCACAAACCAATCGGAGCGTTGAATTTTCTTCATCTATGCTGACTACACTGCCGAGTGCGTCTCGTGTTTGTGCCCCTAGTTTTCCGCCGTCGATGTGTTCGGTGCCAGGGCCCGCTGATGACACCTTTCCACTATAAATCAACCATCCATCCGCAACGTATCACAGCAGACATGGATATGGTAGAAACCATTCTGTAGTAAATGTAGTGTGTAATGGATGAATCACATAAGCCCGGTACCAGGTATGTTCGAAAACGTCGTACTTTCACCTTTGCTAGAATTTTCAAAAAGTCTACACCTAACGGAAAAGTACGTTGTTGTTCCTTGTACGCACCACGGAATATCTTTTTCCAGCTCACTATTTATCTGGGGAAACGTGATTTCTTTGACCATTTGAGCCATGTTGATCCAATCGGTGAGTATATATCAAGGTAGTCCTGAGTCCAGCAAAGTATTTTTATGACGAGCAGGTCTGAATGGTTCGCCAGGTTAAGTCGGAGTCGTGTTTTCAAACGTAGCTCGCTCACATGACCAGGTCACGGGTGGTGACCTATCAAGTGTAGTGTAAAGGGGCTGCTTAAGCAGCCCCTATGCTTAAGCGGCCACTATGTCCAAACTCGCATCGGAATTTGGATCTCAGTCTGCAAAGTCCGTTAATATGTGCATTGGCAGTAATCTTGTGCAATACATCTTCGGCCTGACATCACCACATGTTCGATTACTGCAGTGGCACTTTTTTTAGCCGTAGCCACCCCCTACTAGCGTCTAGTCGTAATCCCATGAGAGCTAGCACCCCAGTTTTCGAGGACTATAAGGATATGGAACTCCGTAAATATGCTTTTTGCAGTGTGTCCGCTCACCGGTAACTTGTTAGCTTATCGCCACAGGCCTGAATGGTATTCGATGTTTGCAAGTTTGTTGCCAACAAACTGTTCTACAATAGCAAACTACGGGTCTGTGAATCTGGCGCGGTCAAATAATAGGAAGATAATACAGCAGATAGAACGAAACCAGATCCCCGACAATAGCCGGCATGTGTTAACGTGCTTGTAGCTCTCCGACGCGGTCACAAAGAATATGCGCCCCATTGTCATGTAACCGTTTGTTTACCCCCGTAACCTGCTAAGTTATGCTAAGGGTTCTCTGCTGACGCCCTTAATGACGCGATTTAGCATACTTTCTAGACTTATTAAAATGATTGCACCTCCGAATGCAGCAAGTTGGGCGGCGGAAACTTTCCGAGACTACCGATCACGCGCCTGAAGTTGATCTTTGATCGGCCCAGTAAGACACCTAGTCCCGTTAACCTCTCTCCCATTCCTACTCACGTGCGAAGTTGATTGTTTTGGCTTCATCCTCATCATTGATAACAAACCGGAGTGGAACGCTAGTGAAAGAACCCTATTGATTCACTAGCACACAACACATGTCAACTTGTCGGTGAAGGCTTATAGTGGAAGTAATAAAAATGGGACAGTGGGACTTACCCTGTCGAGCGCTGGGATACTGCCAGGTTACCCAAGCCTAGACAGGGGAAGTCGGAGAGGCAGAGTCGGGTTCGAACCGCGGACCCTCGGTCAGTAAATTTGCGTTCCAACCACTTTGGCCATCTCGCCCCACTCTATGCCCCTTCTTACCCTGTCACAAACATCCGAGGTGCCAAAATCCATTGGGACACTCGGAATAGAACTTGAGAGCACGCATCATTTTGACTGCTTGCAAAGGTCACGCCTCATCCGTACAAAAAGCAGCGCCTGTTGTTGTCTGATCCTTGCATCGCGTGAGATCCAGAGATATGTCGCAATTGGTGTCTTAGATCACAAAAAGTGACCCGGGTTCTAAAGATTCGTTTATTAACTCCCCCTGTCACATTACAGTCGGAAGTTAAACAACTTCCGATATACATAAAACGCGCAAGAGCCTGGAGTATCTCTCTATGCCTGGAGCCAGGAGAATCATCGGCAAATGTTCCAGCCGTAAATGAATTTCACATCTGTTTCTATTTAAGCGAATCATACATTTGATCTCCTGCTGAGTGTATGGTTTGCCTACATAAGCTGCAGAGTTGGGAAGCACCGACCGTACTTGCCTATGTGGCTTTCTTGTGTAGAAGTCGGAGGTCTGATCCCTCTGGTATTGCTATCAGAATCCGGCGCCGGAGGAGGGCTTTTGTTGGAACCAAGCAACTTTGCAATCTGTCTATTTTATCCGGCGATTGGGACTGTCTTCAGAATCCTTAAAGTACCTCATTCTGTCCCGTTTTTCCACTCTATAGTGTCTCGCAGTAAAGTGAAGTAGCAACCCTGCGCGTATGAGAACATTCATTTTCCATTCCTGTTCCCAGTAGAACTTGTTGTTAACATCTCATAACCTTTGGGTTACTGCTAGAATATGACTCTTCAGAAGTCACACTTTAGCCCCTCTAATAAGTTATCCCTAAGATGAAAAATATAAATCGTCCAGCTGTAACACTCACTCCGTAGCTATTTGCCACGCCACCCAAAGGAGGCACGGAGGCTGAGATACTGCTTGGGGAAATCGAGAGATGGACCTCCCCTAAGGGAGACCCATCAATTAAGAGCACTTAAATTTGACTCCGTAAGTTTCAGTTTCAAAGGCAGCCTTAAGAACTACATCCAACAGAGACGACCTTATGCGTTCATTAGCGAAATTCCTTCTCAAATAAGACCAGGATGCGAACTTCGTGCGCTAAATATGTATGTTCGGGCACCGAATAGGTGCCTGACTGATGGCATTAAGACAAGGTGTCCTACTACATGAATTTCCATATGTATGATACATAACTACTGTGATTTTTTGCTTTAAACCCCGTTCAGTGGTTGGAGGATCCTTCCAAGAAGTGACCATACAGAATGGGTCCTCTTCCGGTAGTTTATCAAGGAGGAAACTGGACCTTAATGATTATAATAATCGTTCGGCTGTAGCACTCTTTGGCCACCTAATTGTCATGTCACCCGATGGAAACACGAGGGCTAAGATACTGCCGGGTTGCTCGAGTCTAGGCAGGAGCATTTGTGATGTCGAGGTTGGGTTTGAACCACGGTCTTTCCGGTCAATATGTTCGCGCCTCAACCACGAGCTCTTCCAAGCTTGAAGCCAGACCTTAATATGCTATGAAGTTTCGTGTGCTTTTGCGACCCATTGAGCTGTTGCCTTATTGTGAAGAAAAGAATAAAGGTGGGCTGGGAAGGAACTTAGTGCTGGCTTACTACAATCATTCCCAGGTGCATGCACCTCCAGACATTCATTCAGGCAATCTGGGTAGAAACTGACAACAAGGTCGCCACTGACATCGGTTGGCAGCCATATCATGCAGTGTCTCCAACCAGGCGCAGTGAGGATCACGCGGTCCCCATCCTGGAAGGTGACAGCACTGACAACACCCAAGCGTTTCGTGATCTCCTTCATACTCCTCTGCCAAGTCAAGGGTTGACCACCTCTTTGTTTACGCTACTCTGCATTGGACAGGGAAAACAGCACTCTCTTCGGCACACGATGGTTCGGCATACGCAATACATGTCCCAACCAACTCAGCTTTTGACGATTGACACACACACACAAATGGAAGTACCCGTTTCTAACTGCCTCATTACGGATTCGCGGACACCAACCCACCCGAGCTATGTTTCTGAGACAACCAACGTCGAACACATGAAGTCGCCTCAGTTCCGCTGCTCAAATAGGCCAAGTTTCACAGCCACACAACAAAACAGCCCATACTATAGCTTGATACACACGTCCCTTCAGATTCAGGGATAAACCATTCTGACGCCATGGGTGTCTCAAGTTAGCAAACGTGGCCCGAGCCTTCGTGCATTCATCTCGTGCATTCACCTCATCTGTCACACTACAATCAGAACTAATACAACTTTCAAGGTACGTAAAACGCTCCACAACTTTCTGCACCTCTCTCTAGATTCTAAGTGGCGTGTTCAGTGACTGCAGGTCCACGAGCATGACCGTACACTTTGTGGGTGCAAATTGCATACCAAAAGACAAGGTAACTTTGGTCAGTTCATCCCAAAACACCTGCGCCTTCTCTCCGAAGATCAGAACGATGTTGTCTGCGTACTTTAGATCGACAGGGTTTTCTCCACAGGCTATTTGAACACCAGGGTTTTGGAGACCCTCCAGCGTTCGTCTCATTATTTCATCGATCACGAAGTTAAAAAGGAATGGGGAGAGTGGGCATCCCTGACGGACACCGCTTTGTGTACGAAAACTTTTGGAGAGCGGGTCGTGTACTCACATGTCCGGAAGTCCGGGAATACAAAGAGCTTATTATGTTGAGTCCAATCCGTGTCACTATTCTAATTGAATCTCAGATGCACTAAGCCTGCCCACTTGTGCATTCATATCTCCGGCAACCACCACGATGTTTGAGCTTTCAGCTCGCCGCAGCAGGGCATTCAGGGTGTCGTAAAACCTGTCTTTGACGGCATCGGAGATACAGTCAGTTGAGGCATAGGCAGACACGACAAACAGACAGCTATCACCTTCAGCTTGTGAGACTCCTTCACAGACGTTACCACACAGAGGCGACTATCAACGGGTATCCAGTCAAATAAGGATGCTTCTGCCCGGTGACTCAGGACGATGACAACCCCTGCACATGCCGCCACAGCAGCCTTTGGATCACCAGAGGTGCGCAACCGGAAGCAAGTGAGGACTGACGGGGCGGCTAACTCAATCACTGTGCTTGCATCTTGAATTCTCGTTTCTGAGACACAGCACACATCGATTCCAAGCGAGTCCAGTGTGAGTGCAAGAGCAGCTTGTTGTCCTGCTTGCTTCGGAGTACGGACATTGGACGCGGCCAGATAGACTGGGTGTCAAGGTCTGAAAATTGATTTGGAGATATCTGAGAATGTCGGTGCCATGTGACGAGCAGATGCTGCACGCGAAATCTATGCATGACGAACGGAGTCATCAGTTCTAAGTGCTGGGTCTACAAAGGAGAATGGGAAGAAAAATTATGTGAAAGAGAAACAAGGGGGCGTCAGCACTAGCCTGTTTTCGCTTACCCGTTCTGCTGTATGCAGCGAGTAAGGCAGCCCGGATGGTGGTACCACGCGACGGTCGATGTGGCATGAGTTTATTTATATATGTGCAATTCATGGTTGTACGTGGGCTGGGATACTCCCAGGGCGCCCATACCTAGACCGGAGGACGATTAGGGTTCTCAACCAAAGCTTTTGGCTCGAGACCCCAACCGCAAGGCAGCGATGTTTGGCGGGAAATGCAAATGCATTACCATTTCAATGGAAGAAGTCGCCACATGTTCCAATCCTCAACCTGGAGGGTCAGTAGACTGTATTTGTCAGACCTCTAACCATCAACCAACCTGGTATGAGAGACTGCGTGTCACGGGGACACTCTCCAGTATAGCTCAATGGATCGCTGAGGTGCGCCAACCGTCACACCACGGTAAGGTCCAGTTTCTGCGTGACATTTCCAACCTTATAGTCGAAACGATTATGGAAAAACCACCTTAACTGTCAATCATCTCGGGGATCGGCCTAATTTTCGGAGGGCTCGCTGAGACCGAGCACATCGACAATACTCTGCTGAATGACGCAGCTTCTGGGAGTTCTGGTGATGGAAGCCTGCTGGCTAACATGTGATATGAAGTGTTCTATTCCTCTGTCTATTCAGCGATAGTAAGATAGAAATAATCGACCAGGTGTGCCGCCACTTTGGTGCATAGCTGCAATGCCACCTTGGAAAAGTTTGGCGTCCTGCAACAAAGCGTGTTGCAGGTAACCTTCAACGCACTGAATGCTACATGGTTGGGGCCAGTATAGCCGGACAGATGAAGAGGAATGACACTGGTATAGAGGCTTTGCTTGTGAGCGTTAATCAATAAAAGACAGAACCAAATGCTTATAATTAATTATGGCTTTGGTTCGCTTTACTGTTCGAGCCGCTGCCGATGCGCAGTGAGTCACTTCAATCTAAGAGTGGTGTGGTTGTCAACATGGAATAAACGACTGACTGGCGTCACGCCCTATCTAGGCGAGGGCGTCGTTAATGTGGGTTGTGCCAAGAGTGGTGAATTGACTTACTTAAGTTCATCCGTGTCAGTTTAGTGAATCCATACCTAGGGAGTCTGCATCTGGCTCAGCTTCTGGCTTAGACGACATGAAAACACCTTTACTTCGTGTAGATTTCTCCAAAGATTTGATATAATATCCAACTAAAATTGCCATTAGAGCTTGACTGTGAGGCTAATCCTCCTATTTACGACGTCTTTCCATATTTCGATGGTCGAACTGTTGTACACTCCTATTGCACATTTCTTCTGGTAGCTTGTGTAGAAACTGGAGAACGAGCAGTCAATCCTGGTCTGTTTATTGTGCGCCTTTGCACCAACCGACTGGCTCTGTATTCCATAGTTTTCTTGAAGCTCTAGATGGGTTTCACGGGTTAAACGCTCGGATATGGCAGTGACAAACACTCAGGGGACAGGTTGAGAACTAGGTAAGCGCAACGAGGGATGCACTGATAGCTGAAAACTCCTGTTACAGCTGTATACTGACCGGCTCACACAGTCACGTGGTAAAGTTTCGTTGATCCCAGCTTCCTCTTTATCCAGTAGCGCGGACGATCAGGTTTCCTTTTTATCGAGTTAAATTGGTCAAATAATGTGACCATGACCATTGATAGTTGACCAAGGAACTCCCACATAATTGCTGTAGCCACGTGTCCCACCCAAGTATTTTTTCCTTATAGCTGTTTTTTCTCCCACTTTTTTGTCGAAAAATAATTTACGGAGATCCTTCCACACGGTTAGCTTTGGCTAACGAATAACAGACATTTACTGCTTCTACGATATAACTTATGCAAAAAGCCGTTCAGCTGTAGCACCCGTTTCGGTGCCTAGCTGCCGTGCCACCCGAAGGAAGCACGAAGGCTGGGATACTGCCATATTACCCAACCCTGGACAGCAGAAGTCGGAGTCGAACCACAGACCCGTTGATAAATTCGCCCTCTAACCAGCGAGCGAACTGAATTGTAGGCGACTGTAGTTCAACCATTGCATGCTGAAAATGTTTGTACAGGGAGGTTTTGTTGAGGAAGGGCGTAGTTTGGATCTACGTATTAGGCATGTGGAAATTAGGACCAAGTTTTCCTTGAATGCTACGCTTCAGACCTCACGATACGCTACTCGAGTCTCCGGTAGACTGTGTAAAGCATTGAGAACTTTGGTGGCTTGTTACGTCTTTTCACGGAAGAGCATTCACCAAACACGGTCCCATTAAGTGGTCTTCAAGTTTCACCTTCTATCAATAGAATGCCCAGGATGTCTGAGCCACGGGAACCTTATGTTGACAGACACACTTCGTCTAGCTCCCACTGACTTCTTTCCGGAACCGTTTGGTGCACCGCTTTCTCTTCAAATTCCCGCACCACCGAATAGCCCCAGGGGCTCCCGTCATGCTCAACCTTTGGTAGGTAGGCCTCACTTGATTCTCTGTGCAGTCATATCAATTGAATCTCGTATTCACTTGGACGACAAACTCGTTGTTAACCATCTACAGTTTGTTCAAAAGGAAGGGTTGGGAGCTTTTTGAAAAGAGGTATTCTAGCACGTCACATGTATGAATTTTTGTTTGACATATGTGGTTATTTTATTCCATTCACAATGGCAATTTCTGTTCTACCCTTGAAATTTTAGAGGGCGTAGTTCTAGTGGACCCAGACTACGTGAAAGACCGAAAAGTATTCATCCATCTCCTCGGTGCATTTCGTTATGGACACGATGAGGTCGACCTCATGGGCATGCAGTACCACAGTGACCTATACCTATCAACCAAGCAGGTCTATCCGCTAACTGTTCCCGTCAACTCGACTGGAGTCATCTCTAAGAGCCCTCTCCATTTAAATTCGGCTCCTCTGGAACCACCTACATTAACTCGCCTGCAAGAGAGACTCGTGAGAAAACTTGGTACCAATGCCTATCCGTTTTACTTCCAGGTAGGACGATCTATTTTGGTGCAATCTCTGCTGTTTGGAAATATTATTCCATTATTTTTCACTCATTTTTGAAGTCAGAGCATTATCAACAGCAATACACCATAAATAGATGCTGATGCTTAACTGCCATGCAGCTACTAGAAAAAATGCCTGGTAAGGAATGGGAACGAAGAAGAATGGGGACCTGTTACTACCAGCGCTGTCACTAAGGATAACGATAAATAACAGCCAAAATACGTCTTGGGAAAGCAGCGAGATAAACTCACTCAAGCATCATATTAAAAGAAGACTACATCAGTGGGATCGACCCAACACCCGCCTCGGACTCCATTCGACATCAGCCCACGATACAACGGCAGATAATTAATAGATAGGCATTTCGACGTGCACAGAGAATCATGTGTACTCCAAACAGAAAACAGTGCTTGTGATTCACTTAATCCGGAATATCCCAACCAGTCTCACTTTGACGAGTTTACTTTCTTCACTACTGCATTCTGGTGGGCCCGTTGGTTCAGTGTTTATCACGGCAAGCTTGACACATAGTTGTCTATCCCTTTTGCTTGCTGCTTTCAGCGTGCATGTTTTCCGCATTTTCGCTTTTTCCAGGATTCGACCGTTTCCTAAACTGTCCCACCTTTCTGCTTCTCCTCTTCCCCAATCCTACTCGCATCCCTAATAAAATCGAACGGATGTGCTCAGATTTCCCGTTTTTTTAGGACCCTCACTTTGAATAATCCTTTCCGCCGTGGACTTTTTCGCTTTGCAACTTTGTGATTTACGATCTGGCTCATCTGAAATGCTGATAAGCTTTTCCCCACGTTTTGTTGCTCGTGATTTCGAACACTGATTCGTTTCACAAAAGTAACGAATTAGTGGATGCTGATTTGGCATGGCACACAAAATTTGCGTAGTTTTTTATTGACACAAGGGCCACTATTACGGGCTATTCACCCATTGTCTCCGTTAACTTTCGCCGTGTTTTGAATAGAAACGGGTTATCTGCGTTTTGTACCGCTTCTGTCCCTAGCACGGTCTGTGGAACAATGACCGCTTGGTTAGGGGCCGCACAAAAGTTAGTGCAAAATACTGAATAAGTCCGCTATTGGTTTTCGTGGAGGCTTACCGTCGAACTCACAATACGCACCGAAGACAGATATATAACCTCCAAAGCGTTAGTATTCCGGTGATGGATTCGCAAATTCTAGACGCTTCACTTGTTCATCATCGACATTATAACGCCAGTGTTCAACGCTGATGCCTCGTTGCCGAACAACCATAATTTATTTGAAAGCTGTAATATGAAGGAAATAGTGAAAGTGGACGAAGAGATACTCATTGCTGGCCTACCACAATCATTCCGAGTTGCCTACACCCTCAGGCACTTATTCAGGCAATCTGGATTGGAACCGACAACAACAATGCTATTGATATCTATTATCAACTACATCTTGCAGTATCTCCAACCAGGCAGTGAAGCATCGATGTTGAACACTGACGTCATGCTGTCGATGATGGTGATGAACCAGGCACAGTGGAGATCACGCAGACCCTATCCTGGAGGGCGAGTCACACCGGTTGATTTTTCTTAGTCTCTTTTACACCTACCTAACAGTTCAGAGCTTGACCGCCACTGTGCTTACGCCACTGAATTAGGCTTGGGAAACATCACTGTTTGGCATGACCCTACGCTTTGTGGGTACAAAGCACATTCCAAAGGATGGGAGGGCCGCGGTCAGTTCATTCAAAAACATTTTTGTCTTTTCTCTGAAGATGAGAACGATGTTGTCTGCTCAAAATGTTGAACCTCGCTTTAGTATATGGCACTCCGGTCCATCTCCGACCTGTTGATTGACTGGCTGGGGCACCTGCTGCTGTTATGTTCTGCTTATTACCAGTTGCATCTTAGCCATGGACCAAGGATGGATCGCTCTGTCCTCCATTGTTCTCCTTTAGGTGATTATATACGCTTGATTCGTCCCGAGTATCCAGTTGTCTTCTGCTCCACATTCACCCACCAATATTTCAAGTGCAATGCAATGGGTATAGTTTTGTTTGGGTGCGATTGGTCGGATTGTCATGTGTGCTAAACTGCAAACAGTTAAAATAGGTACCGATCTAGGTAATTTTCAGTCAGTGGGTGGCTAATTATTCTCTTTGGAGCTTAGCATTGGTTTTTCCTAGCGATTTTATTTCATCGAGTTTGTACATCCACTGTACAGAATTACCATCAGATTATCATGTTTATACGTGGAGCGAGTACTTTGATACAATTCGTGACGATTTTTAAACCGTGCGTTTTTGTTTACTTTCCCTCATTCCACCCTTCGCCCACGATGCTTGACATGCGGATAAAGATTCATATCTTCAATGCACAGCTGTTCTGTGTTCCAGTCTAATTGGAGTATTCCATTCACTATCGATTCGTGCTATGTTCAGTACATCATTCTCCTTTCACAGGCTGCCCATACCCTCAGCCTCCAGAACGAATATCCAACTTCACAGATTAACAATTAGGTTCGACTGTACTTAATTCGAGAATCGGGCATTGTATCCTCCTCACTACCCTGTCAGCTGTCGCTCCTAATCGAAACACGGGGACACATGTAAAACATATGCTCCAATACGCTAACATTTCTTTTACTACGTTCAATCATTTTCCTTGGATTCTACAGATAACCTGGTTGTTCAGCCTGTAAAGCTTCTACAATAGCGCGCAAATAACTCTAACCTTGGGATTTGTGTTGCGGAAGTGTCGTTGGGATGGTGTGATGGTCGGTGGATTTTGATTGTATAGCATCACTGTCTTCTCTGGCTGACACATTTCCGAATATCATTCGTATAATTCACTTTTGGAGGTGTTCCTCCTCGTCCTACGCTAGACATCAGTAGGTCCATGAAGAAACGGATGCAGATTGACTTCCATGATGAATTGTTTTGCTGTTTTTTTTCAAATTTCCCGAATAATAGTCGCATCAGTCTAGTGTAGTTCACGAGCTCTGGTCTCGTAGCCCCCCAAGGGAGGTGTATCATATTTGTGGAAAGTCGTCTTTTCTGTGAGAATTTTGACCAATTCCAGCTGGTGTAAATTCTGGAATCAATGGTAGCATACCGCAGTAGTAGAACGAGATGGGGTGAGATGGCTCAATGGTTCCAGCGCGAATTTACTGACCAGAAGGTCCATGGCTCGAACCCAATCTTCGCATCTCCTTTGGGTGGCATGGCAATTAGGCCCCGAAAAGGTATTACAGCTGAACGACTTAGAGCGGGTACGAAAAATACTATGGTTTTTACCGATTCTACGGACCCCGACCGATATGTTCACATTTCGAAGCGGTAACGGAACCATGAGCTTACGGTGTTTCAATTTTCCCAATTGAAAGTATTGTCACTGGGCAAGTTCATTTTGGATGCATGTACACTAGGTGCCGACAAATTACACGTAGCCAGCTCATCATTATTATGTACATTAAAATGGATGGGATGTCTTCATGAGGATTCGCTATTTGAGCTGACTGACCCATGGAGGGCCTTCTGTGGCGGTGTATTTTCAATTCACAGCCACTAGAACGTACATAGGCATGTTGATCATTATAAGGGCTGGTGGTCTATGTGCATTTTTTGGGACGTAATATATGAGCAGATGGAGGACCTCGTCCTAAAAACAACCGAGAATGCGGGCTGAATTTGCACCGAAGTGCCAACAAGACCGTTTCAAATCAATACTATGAAGCGATTGAAGAACTGGGGATACTGTGACGTGGGCCGTTCATCCAACCCATTTCAGACCCAGTTATGGTAATTACCAAGAGAGAGAGGGAAGAATACCTGGAAAGAATACATAGGATTTTCTTAGACATTCAATGGTTTGGAATTGACAAGCATGGGAGAATAACCACTTTGAAGTGAAGTACATCGCAAGATAAGTTACTTTTCAAACCTATATGACTATATGTAAAAACTGTGTTTCATCTGTTGGAACTGCAGCTCCACGATTGAGCGGCACTACGAAAATGCGCAAGGACGGTACATATTTCAAACTATTTTTGTGTCTGCGTCTCTTCACAAAGTTGCACAGAGGCTACTGGAACTTTCGAGCATTAAACGCAGAGAGCTTGTGTAGTGCGGCGAGGTCCCAGCATTTATTTCCTGTCAAAGTTGACTGTCTAACAATGTGCTGAGAGCTAGGACGTCCGAATGCACCTTGGGGACTGTTCTTCATACTTGTGTCTAGGCTCAAGCACGTTCCTTTCACTGGACAGGGGATTTCTGATTCAATTCCATTAGTCTTAAGGATAATATGCGACTCCCCAGTTGCGCTTTTCACTGTTTGACTTTAATCCAAGGTTGAAGCTGAATGCAACTTGACCGTGTCGCTGTATGCACCTCGGCTGGTCCACTAACAGTGAGCACTCCACCTTAGTGATTGAACGAAGGGCGTCTGTTACGATTTCGAAAACTTAGCCTAACAAGCATTATTTCGATTGCATTTTTTACATTCCCGATTTAGGTAGTTTCCAGTCATTTTTAACCACTCTTAACTCCACCCACTCCGATTTACGTGTGAATCTGTTTGAGAGCTTGCTGACGGGTCCATGCACAGTATGCATAATTGTTGAGTTGCGATTCCGCAGTTTGAAAATATAGGAGGGTCAAGATTTTATTTTGCAGAGCAAAGAGACCATACAGTCTGGATCAGTTGAACAGACCGCATAAAGTTCTGATGAAAAGAATCTCGAATGTGGTTTGTAACAGGGTCGGGACAACATCTGCTTCATTTGGTGAACGAGAAAGCTATATATCCACCGCGCAACCTATGTCTGATACCGACTGCAAAGTAATGCGCTCTCTGAATAAATACATAAATTAGACTACTGCTCACCAGACTTCTGAAGAGTTTTCCTGCATCTGCGAGGACTTTTACCTCGGGGAAATAGTCAGACGGAACTCTAGCAGAATACTCGGTCAATCGTATTTCGGAATATATTATACAAATGTTACTAGGATGACAGTCGTCAGATCCGGGATCAAACCACAATCTGATATAATCAATATCCAGCGATCTTTTAGGCACAACTTTTCACGTTGATCCGGGCTGGCAAGCATAATGGAACCGGAATTGGATCTAACCAACCGATCAATAGCTCTTAGAGTGCAGCGATTTGTCATTCTTTGTATCACTCCGAAGGGAATACGATTTCTCATTCGACTTTTTCCATTACTGTGCTCTTCCCCTTTGAACTCAAAAAATCCGAGTGGACTCGGCGGTTTTGCAGAGGTATAATGGAGGGGTTAATAGCCTAAAAGCTGCGAACGCTACCCACAACCGAAGATTCCCGTTAAAGATGTAATTGTTATTGTTGGGATCGCCGAGTAGAAGGTGTATTGTATGCCAGAATCTTCGGGCTAAAGTAATTCCCCTGCGAAAAAACTTCCGCATTCCACTTGTTCATCAGCATCTCACTAGTTATTTGACGCTTCAGCCTTATCACTGCCACACATACTGGATTGTTACCATCTCAATCCCATTAAATAATGTTCTGTGATGGTTTCGCTCTCACCACCCTATGAAAAGTACCAGATGTTCACATGCACCGTTTTTTCCACCGATCGAAGATATTCTTTTCATTGAAATAGGGTCCCTAATACTATCACCCGAATTTTCATCGTTTGCACACCCCTACAGGAGTATTTCCCACTACGACCTCATCATCATGGTTCTAAATTATTTTTTGTATGTTTCGTACTGCGTTCTTCCGGTCTTTTGTCACCGCCGGCATGTTATTGGTGAGATTTTCTTCAGTAAACCAAGCATTATTGATTTTCGTAGCTTGATTTCTCAACACTTTGCATCATACGCTCTTGGGGTCGAAATGCTCCTAGGGCGTTCAATCCCAGGTATCGCGTACACAAACGGCACAGCTCTTCTTGGATCTGAGGCTATTGTAATGCAGGCAACATTAAATAGTCTAAATACTTCAACCTCACGGCTTGGCCCTGCAACGTGTAGAGTGCTCCTACAAGACCGAATGGTATCGAACCCTTGTCTTGTGTTTGCGGATGAGCCGGTTGAGTTAGCAGGTAAATATATCTATCTGGGTGGTTGTATCAGTCTCAGTATTCTCGCGAGAGAAAATTTTGTGAATCTGCATCACCTGCGGCGTAGGCGTGACACCAGCTTGTCTGACAAGGGTCAACTTTGCAATGCTGCGCTGCGCCCCTTAGTATTGTACGGATCAGAACCTGGTCGTTGCGCGTTGAGGGTGTCATAAGTGACAGTGTTTGTTCATCGATGTCTTCGGAACATTGCCCGAATGTGGGAATACTGGATCAGTGATGCTGAAGTATGTCAATAGGTTTTCAGAAAAGATAGATGAACTGATCACACTCCATAGGTTGCGCTGGTTTGGCCACATGTTTCGTATGCCAGTCGGCCGGCATCCTCGAAGGGCAGGAACGAGCCAGTGAAGGTCAAGCAATGCATAGCTTACTTTCTCAATCTCCTCAGTGAAAAGTTCACCGACATCCCTGTATGTACGCGTCAGTTATATCGAGTAGCACCTCCAATGCATAACTATCCATTTCGCCTCCCCAAACGAACGAAACCATGACAGCTAGAACCACTCTGCTACAAGCACGCTGGTTTTACAGCTGCTAGTGATGGTAATGACGAAACCAGAAATTAAAAAGATAAAGGCTAATTATTTGCCTGAAATATCTTGAAGTATACTTTGTCTGCCGCTCTCAACAGTCTCCTTTTCCCAAACGACTTCACGCGTTTTGCTTTTCATTCGTTAACAGTAACCCGTCACTGCCCATCTCCGAGTTTGTCTTTTGGGTCCGTTGCCAAACTGTAGCTCCACTGAGCACTCCCAGATTCTTCACTCGTTGGCGATCTAACTTTTGCATTCAGTTACTTAGCGAATGAATGCATCTGGACATTGTACTACCCGTTTGCTCGGTCTTTCTGTAAGTAGGCCAGTGTGTGCCTGTAAATCGTTACATTATCCACGTGTTGTCCGAAAAACAAGCAGACCACTGGTTGACAGGCGCGTTGTGCTTTTTCCTGGACACTTTGTTTACTTGGCACATAGAGTTGTTTTAGGAGTACACTACACTGCATCTCCGGACCCGTCGCCTTCAAATTGGTCTTGCTAACTTATGCTCAGTGCCTTTTTATTAACTTCAAGGCTTCTCGTGAGCTATGTATGTGGGTGTTCTTTTTCAATTTAAGTGACTGGTGGACACAAATCAGGAAAACGAACAGCTTTGTGGTACAAGGCTAAGCGATGTTAAACAATTTCGTAGTGGCAAAAAGCTCGTGGTAAGGAAAACCATACCTGTTCATGGAATTTTAAATTGGTGGATTTTTGCCTTTTATACCGGCGCACCCGCTAGAAGTCTCGGATTGATGAAGCATGCAACTCCCAAACACAGCAGTTAGATCCTTGACCGAAACGTCTATTGTCTGATGCAGGCGTTCCCAGGCAGTCCATCGCGTATCTGTGGTGATGACATGCACTTTCCTTTTAGTTATTCCGGTCCTTGACGTATATGTTCAAATGCAGTTGAATGCAAATAGATATCCTTGCCGACTTTATGGTCTGAACAGACATTTACCCATATTATGTCGGAGGGTGCTCTTGTGTACTAGACACCCGTTCACTCTTTTTGCCTAAAGCCTCAACTTCCAAACTTCTGTAAATATTTGGAATCATTTTTGTTCCCTGCCGGAACTCTTAATAATACTGTGTCCACCCGTGTGTGGGCACCCGGTACCCTGTTAATAATACTTTCCTTATGGGCCGTCCCCATAACCAGATGAAATTTACTCTTAACTTACGTTCCTCCGCTCTTCAAGGTCTCCGATATTTCTCATTATTCAATTCGTGTTCCAAAACCCCCGTCCGGTTACTCCGCTTTTCATTTAACTTGAACTGCTATTTAAAATAAAGTTTTAAGCAATAATAGTAGTGTGATACGGATGTCATCGAAGAGGATCTGAAAATCTGTCATCAAATCACATTGATGGTCACATAAATAAGTCTTCAACTTTATCGCATTTTCAAGTGTCATAATTTCCGTTTTCCAGGGCGTGGCAGTTTTGATAGACTTGAGTTTTCTAACTGTATTTTTTGCTCCCTATTGCCTTCTCATTCATAGCTACCCGCCTATTCAGCTTCTTCAGTTTCTTTGAACGTGAGCACGTCCGATAGTGGCAAGGTGAGTCGGTGAATTCAAGTAACTTAGCCCCCTTTCTTCGGCGGTTTCTTTACATTTTTTTCAATCTGACATGCGGTTGGTTGAATTAGCTTGGAGACTTACAAATTATGAAGATGGGATTACTCAGCATTTTGTATCTAGTTTGGTTATCATAGTCAGTGGAATTCAATAATGGTTTCTAGAAACTTGTATTCGAAGCCGAGAGGACCAGTTACCTGATACCTTTCGACCTTGTAGTGATTAGGTTGCCAGGTATAAGCGGTAAACTTCTGCACCACACGTCTCAAGAGTGATCTTCAATATATGCTAATTTGATTAGAAAACACTAGAAACCTCCGGTTGAATTATAGATGCACGTTCTGAAGATTCAGCGCTGGTCGGTCTCTTACTAGGTCAGTAGCTGGTCAGAACGGAATGGTCATTAATAAGCGTAACTTTTCTCCTAAAAATCGCGATTTCAATGACTGACAAAAAATCTGGAACGATCTGGTTTTCCCCACAGATTGCTGATGAAACGATATACCAAACCCACTCATAACATGTAGTGAGATTTTTGCGTTGCTTCACTGCTCCTTAACCCGTGATTTGTGTGTTGAATAATTTTGGTTGTGTTGGGCGCATAGGAGACGTATGAATCGGTGAGAATAAATCAGCTATTGTGCTGCATTTTTTCAGATTGGCAAATAAATTTTCAGCAAGCTGTTTTTGACATACTACACTTGGTTCTCTGACCCAACTCAAAACAAGCTAATACTCTGAAACTTGGTTCTTGACCCAACTCAAAACAAGCTAATACTCTGAAATCGAATAAAAGCGGTAGTAACCAATTCCCGCAACAATCCTCGTCCGCCAAAATTAGCTTATTCTGATTACCATGCGTTCGCATGCTCTTGGTTCATTGCACTGTAGTTCCCGTTTGTTTGTATGTGACTTTGGTCTGGCTGTTGTTTGTGTTATTCTGCAAATTTATAACATCAAGCATTCCTGACTCACATGAATCGGTTTCACTTGTAAGTCTGATATGCAGTTTCCTTGCTGTTCTAATGCGCTGTCCCGCGACGAGTCCTCCAGTTTGTGCGTGTGGCCTGTATGTACTATTTGAAATGCGCGCTGGTAATTCTTTTCCTATTTTGTTCCGTATAGCCATGTCGAGTGGACTACGAGTTGAAGGCGTACGTTGCGGACGAGCAAGATGATAGTCCACAGAAGCGGTGAGTTCTAGTTTTTGAATGTATTTGGACGTCTTCGCTACACTTTGGGCTGTGGTGAATGTTTGTCCATTCACAGATAAAGCGCAGATACGAAACACGTGAGCTAGTTGTAAGTAGTAGGGAGACTTCTTAGTTTCACGGGTTAATTTCGCTCTGTGGTGGATGACAACCGATGATAAAAGCTGAACGGAAATCATATCAATAGCGATAAACGTTCAGATTTGATAAGTCGTCACTTGGCCCATTTTTACGGACCTATCACTTGGTCATTACAATATGGGGATATCCGGAAGTTTACGAGCCTTGACACGTTTTGTGCTGATGTCGGAAGTTTACGAGACTAACAGTTTGGTGCTGATGTCGTATATTTAGTTTGAAAACAGGCTGGGTCGCCAGCACCAAGAACGATGCTGTTTTGGATTTTCAGGGCTTCATAGGTCAGTCGATGTCCTTGCGAAAAGTCTTCAATCCAACCCTGTGTCGTTGCTGTAAATTTTGCTGAAAACTCTGAAGTCAACTGCAGCAATACAAAGCATTTGAAGGGGTCACGAGGACGAGAATAGTCTGGGCGCTTGATGTGCGAGTCTTGACTGTGCTAGTGCTTACAGCGCCTTGAAGCGGATTCAGCATTGTTTGTATTTCTTCGGGTATTGGTATTTACACGCGTGTTTCCATACCGAACTTTCTTACGTACGTGGGGCTTCATTTTGTCTGCCTGGAACTGTCAGTGGCACGACTTCGAATGGGATGATTATCTCTTTTTATCGAATATTCCACTTCCACATCCATCACTTGTATTTACTATTTGTGTTTGTGACCATGCTCTTAAAAATTGAATGATAGTTTATGCTCAGTGCCATAGTTGCCGGTAATTTGAGACTCCTTAAGATGATATGCGATAAAGAATGGCGTGTCTCACCCATCGTTGGCGCCTGTCGATCTGAGACTAGACACCAGTTGGTCGGTGGCTCGTTCGCTGAGCTGGGCAATTTGATTACAAACGTTTCATCACTAATCAAGGTGATATCATCAGTGCGTTATTGAGGAGCGTAATGGTGCGTAGCGATGGATTAGTGTTGTCCTAAAAACCAGAGCAACTTCTAGCGTGCACTGTTTTATCTACGCTTCCTGCGAATTTTCGACTGATGTATTTCAACTTAGCGTTGATTTATGCATTTCCTATATTGTGAGGAGGTACTGCGGATTTTGTTTGCTTGTCTGGCATCTAATCCTTACATTGCTACCGAGAACCTTCTAAGTTCCGTAATTGATTCATCATTTTGGCGTTCTTTTTGAAGACTCGTCTGTGATGGCCATCTGCGATTCGAAGCGTCATGCGAGGGATTACTTTCCACCGTGTACGAAGTATATAGATTTGAATATCACTGGGCCAAAATGTCGCAACAAACTGCCTAACCTCGGCCAATTTTATAACTTGTGTCCTCATCTAATAAAGAGAAGTCATAGGGTAATTCATGTTAAAGTATTCGGACCGAAGGCAGTGCCAAGGTGTACCTAGGTGCATGGTTTATGTTTCTTTCGGAGTATACTGCGTCTTGACTTGCTCTTCTAGGTTAGTCCTTAACCTTCCTTTTGGAGTTAAACAATGTAACGATTTATCTTCCTCCACCTTTCCAGTAGTTCGGTCCGGATGGTTGTCCGTAAATTGACCTATGCTCCCGAAGAGCCGGGACCGCAGCCATCCACGGAGGTCATCCGTGATTTCCTCATGAGCCTAGGAAGCCTTCGTGTGGAAGTATCGTTGGATAAGCAAGTAAGTCCCGTTCAAGGTCTTCAACTGATGTCGCCCTTTTTCCGTTTTTATTTTACTATACCGTCAAGCTCCGTTCCTATTGCGATGTCTTAATTTTCCGAACTGTTTTCACATCTTATTGGTAGTTTGCCTTCCATGTACACCTGTTCGAAAAATGTCTCCTGTTCTTATGAGCCTCATACAGCACCCCAACCTTCATTCAAACTTGGCACATTATTATGAACATGGCTGACATTTGTACCGATCGTCTGACGCGGTTATCATCAATAGCTAACCCTAGCGCTGGACAGGGACATGGTTATTGTTTTTCTGAGCACCACGGCTAGAGGGTGATTCAAGGGGAAAAACCGGACGGACG